TATTATACACACACACACACAAGGCGTAAGGGAGTAAACAGATCTGGGTGTTCGAGTTCATTAACACTTCATAATCAATCATCTTTGTTTTGCATACTAATTACCGATTAATGAGGATCGGCTCATCAAAACTGATCTGAGTTTATTTATATTACTGTAAATGAGGGCAATAAAAATTGTCTATTTTTGACATAATTAGGCTAATTGTGATTTTATTAACTATAACTTTAACATTATATGCTAATTTCCTATTTCATGATACTGGAGACAAATCCACATTTTAATCGATAAGCCTTATTGTTTGAAGTTATAAGATTATGTAAATTTTAATTTCACGGTTTTTATTATAAATTCAAATTATTTAAATCTATCATATTTCAATAATAATTTTTTAAAAATATTAATAAATTATTATTAATATCACAAACTAATTTTTATATTATATATTTAATATTTGTTTGCTTGATAACGATCATTTATCCCCTAGATAATTTCTCTTTAGATCTAACTTTTTTTTCAAATAAGATTTTTTCATTTCACCATATTTTTATATTTTTATATAGCTTTTCCATAATTAAAACAACAAAATATAAGAAGTCAATATTGATATTTGACATAATCCCACATATTATAAATTATTTAGTCATATTATGAATAATTTTAAACTTATCTATATTCCATTATATATATCTTTGACATATTTTTAATTGTGCTTCAATTTTATTCTTGTAGCATCAACCACTTATCATTTCTATTGTCATTACATAATTTCATTAGTCTTTATCTAAAAATAAAATAAAATAGTATGGATAATTGGGAAGAAACTAATTGATTCTATAACAAGAGTATAATTTTTTATATCTATTTTTATTCTTCTTTTTAATAGTTTTATAAAGAGAGCCATTTTTTTTTATAATTGTTAATATTTCGAATATAATATTGAGCATGTCTTTTATTCTTAAATAAAAAAAAATGCATTTTGGCTTCCATTTTGAACCTAAAATTCACTAAAAAATTATATTAATCAAGTTTTTGGTACATTTCAA